ACAGGCACACAGGAGTCTCTTTTACTACAGGTGCACAGCTGTAGATCGTACTCTGCTAGAACCTTGAGCAACAGGCATGGATACATGCAAGTGATACGTGAAACAGACAGGCACCTGGATGTGTAACATTCAGTGTTTCACCCCGCCCTCACCGCACCGCCCTCACCGCCCACTCCTGCCCACACCTTTCCTTGGTGTTGGAGACTATCAAAGGAGGCTGCCAATGCGTGCCTCAGTCCTCGATCACCGCCCCTCCACCGCCCACACGCGCCCCCCCCCCCCACTCACCGCCCTCACCCCCCGCACCGCCCTCACCGCCCCCACCACTAAGTGTTTAGAGACGATTCAGAGGCTGCCAATGCGTGCACAAAACCCCCCCACCCTCACCGCCCTCACCGCCCTACCCCACCCCCACTTTCCTAGGTGTTTAGAGACTATTTAGAGGCTGCCAATGCGTGCCCACACCCCCCACCCTCACCGCCCTCACCGCCCCCACCGCCCACACCCCGCCCGCAACGTGACCTTCATCACGGTGACGGTGTAAGTGTAAGTATGTCTAGCAACGTTAACAACGAAGCAATCCTGCAACATTGACATGAGTTGGAATGCTTAGGTCGCTGTTGCCGTCGTCTTCGTCATGACATTCGTGGTGGACCTCCTTCATCTTGTTCTGAGCTGGGCACCTCCTCATGTCGCTGGCCTTCGCTTGTGCCTTTTGGGGGTCGGCGGCTTTGCTGGCAGCCATAAAACATCCATGGCTGTTGCTCAAGGTTCTAGCAGAGTACCGATCTACAGCTGTGCGCTTGCAGGAAAAAAGACACCTGTGTTTGCCTGTGTCCTTGTACGCCTTGCGAGAGGATACACGCCCAAGTTACATCTCATGGGGTGGTGGGGTGGTGGGGTGATCCCAGCAGGAGTGGTTGGGGACAAAAGCACAACACATAAAACGAGTGATTGGCCCGAAAACCACAAACTCTAAAGGGGCGAGTGGCTACGAAAAACCAACCTGAAAAGGGTGCTGGTTCCTAAAGACCTAAAACGCAAACAGTTCTACACGAAAACCCTATCCTAATACTGTGATGGATGGCAACACGATACTCTACAAGTCGAAATCCTCAAAGAAAAGACTCGGTGTCAAAAACTCAAAGCCCTCTGGCCGGATCCGTTTTCTGTCTTGACTCTTCTGTGCTTGGAACAGCGGTAGTTTGGTGCTCGAACCGTAGAGGCTTGATTGAGGAGTGCAATGCTTGAGTCGTGCTTTTATGTGCGCAGGATTGCGCAGGTATGTTGGTGGCGGTCTCCCTCCATATCTGAAACTCCATGTTGCTGCGAGGACAGGTTACAGTCTCTCAAATGGAGCCTCGAGCGCTGCCTGGGCCGTGGTGTTGCTGAGAAGGTCCGAGGCCTTGGAAGTAAAGGCGGGCTTGAAAAGGGAAGCTGCGGGTTGGGGTTGCTGCGGTAGTGGCAGAACTGGGGATGTCAATCAAGGACCTATCAAGAACTTTCTGAAGATTGCTTGCTGGTAGTGCTGATATGACTGGGCACACCGGGAGACAGGAGACAATCCTCTTCGAATGCAGCGGCACAGATCAGCAGAGGCACAGATCAGATCACAGCACACGAGCAATACTGGATTTCCGAAACAGCCCGCATTGAAGCACGTCAGAAATTGGCCTGTCGCAGAAATAGAAATCTCCAGCTAGCGGCAAAACAGCTTCTTAAAGCCCGGTTGCTGTGGCATTGTCGAGCTCCAGCCTGAAGTCCACTTCCACCTTGATGTTAATCACCTGAAAACGGGCAGGCTACAGGCCTTGACCGAAGAATCGGACCGCAAGCCACTCAGAAATTGCAAGACTCGGTTATGAATTACAAGCACTCCCTTGCGGTCCCACCGTGACTGTCCACACAGATGTGGCTGTGTCGGGTGCAAAGACCACTGTGTTGCCGAAGGCGGCCGCGGATCTCGAAGCACCCGTCTCCAAGGAGAAGTCCAAAGTGCTGTACTCTCCCGTCGTCACATCGAAGACCCCCACCTGCTGGCTGCTCTCAGGTGCAAAGAACACTTTGCCGTCAAGTGCCACTGCGCCGGCAAACTGGGCACCGACGAAGAGCACCTCAAAGGTCCTGTCAACGACATTAAAGATTCCGATGTGCTGACCTTCCGCGGGGCCAAAAATCACTTTGTTTCCAACCGCAGCGGCATCTAGGAATTTGGACGGCCCAGCAACGCCGAAGCTGCTGATGTCGAAAGTCTCGTAGACCCAAGAGCTGATGTTGCCAGCGATGCTCAGCAGACCGATGTAGTCCTGTCCAAGGGGTGGGAACACCATCAAGTCTCCCGCCACTGCTGCTCCTCCATGCTTGAACGCATCTTGCGTAACACCGTTCGTGACTTCCTGGTAGCTCTTCCCGGTGACATTGTAAACGCCGATAACATAGGCACTGTCCGGAACGAAGACGACGAGCTCCTGTTTTGCGGCCACTGCTCCGCAAAATCGCCGAAGAGTTCCGTTCCCGGGGATGACACCGATGGAAAACTCTTCGAAGGTCTCATCCGTCGAATTGAAGATGCCCAAAACGGCCTGGGCGTCACTTGCAGACGGCGCAAAGATAACAAGGTCACCAACCACTGCAGCACCTTTCCATGTCTGATTTGTCAAGGTCCTCACAGTGCTGAAAGAGCCCAAAGCAATGTCATACACTCCCAGATCAGAGGTCGGTGAGTCCAGGGAGGGTGCAAACACAGCTTTTCCGTTGGGGGTCGCAGCGGCACCAGAGTATCTGTACTGGATACCTCCGATGTCGTTGACAGCGTTTGCCGTGAAAGCCAGCTCGAATGAGGGCGAAGGAAACCCGACGACGAAGGTTGACAAGTGGTACGTCTTGCATACGACTTTGCCCGGAACCTTCTTGCCTGCTTTCAGTACGGTGTACAGGTCTATTCTCGACCACACCTTCCTCTTCTTGTCCCAGAACATACACACCCTTGTTGCCTTTGGCTTCGTCTTGGTTGTTGGCTTTGTCTTTGAGCTGGTCACATTTGATGTTTCGCTGGAAACCGTCTCCATAACAAGGTTGATGTCATCTTCCTCTTCGTCCGATGTCAAGCTAAACTCGATGGGCTCGGCCAGGTCTCCTGCTTCGATTGGATTACCATCTGCATCTCGGAAAGTCAAGATCACTGCAGAGCTGGCGTCAACCTCCGTTTCAGCATCACTCAGTCCAGACTCGTTGGTTGAGTTCCTTGGCGGGCTAGCCGACGATGCTGCCAGGATGACCACATCAGTGCCCGCCGCTGCAGCGAGCTGCTGCAGGGTGTTGCCAGGCACTGACGCCGTACCACTAGGAAGCTCGACCTCCAGGGTCTCGTCCTCCTCCACGTTTGCAACACTGACGGCAATCACTTGCAACGGCCGCCCCGAGACATTTAGAGTCACACTGCCTAGGATTGCTGAACCGTTGCTCTTGTTGCCATCGGCGTCCGAGAGCAAGGTCGACAAGACCGCTTGCACAGCTTCGTCGGCTGCTTTCTCGGCCTCCTCCACAGCAGCATTCACCTCGTCCGCCAAGACGTCTTCTGGGCTTCGGGTAGTGGTCTGTGTCGTAGAGGCCGAGGTGCTGGTTGTGACTTCCTGTACGTGACGGAAGCAATCAAGAGACGGAAGCTTCGAACTGTCAAAGGTGCAACTGGAACCTCTCGAGCAACGACATGTGGCTTGAGAACCCCACCTCCGAGGTGGTCTCTTGATCAGGATTGTCATTGTAGTAATGCCGTGGCGGCGCGCGGTACTTGTGCCACCTAAACCGATTCCTCCTCTTCACCCGATTCCTCCTCTTCCGGAGCCAGGGCTGAGGATGCTGCACGGCCTGTAATCAGAGTGTGTCGCTGTGACACGGCGAATCACGGGTTCTCAGTAGGATGGCTGAACATGCTGGACCTTGGGGCACTGTCAGTTTTCGAAATGCTGAGGACCGCACCGTCCCTGTCATCTCCGAACTTGTTGCGTCCTGGCGTCCCCGAGTCTCCGTACTGCACGACATGCACATCTGTGCGTTTTGACGAGTCGGAGCTCCTGGGAGCCATCGGCCACCGGATCAAGTCCAAGGCCTTCCGTGCTGCGGTGCCGTATCCTGCTCTGCACGAGCGCCGCCTGGTCCGTAGCATTGCACACTCCTGCATCACAGGTCTTCACCTCTGCAAGAGCCAAGATGTGCCCGAGCAAAAATAGACAACATAGCGTCAGCATCTCACCAAAGCCGCGCATGGGGCTTTCTCGCGACCACGGTGAGAAATGATCCAGCCGCGCCGTGCCGTCACAGGGTTAAACTGGGTAAAAACTTGAGCCCAGACGATGCCAACGTCCTGCTGCTCGATTGCACCCATTGTCCTGCGTTCAACCGACCGAATCGCTTCACAGACCTTCCAACTGTACCCGTCAGAACCATATCATGCGGGCCAGACGTGTAGATCAGCAGCTTACTGTCATATACAGCTACCATGGGCAACCTGCCCAACTCAGCTACAGCTCGCCACACGAGAACTGAATCTTGGGCCGCTGCCTGTAACAGTCTCGACAGTCTTTTAGCGTGTTGATGCTTGATGGCATTCAAGACCGGTCATAAAGCTCTGAATGTTTGAGTATCGTGCATTGTGGCCCAGTGCCACTATCGATGAAATGCGATGCACATATTGAAAGCCCTTGGTATGCGTGCCCCCGCGGCCACAAGAGGCTGCTATCGCCAACACTCACGATGCAGATGCATTGCTCCCGCTTCGGGCTGCGCCGAAGCCGAAGCGATGCTAACATTTGCCTGTCAAGCTCTGCCCTGCGTCCAGTCGTGAAACTTGGAGGTCGTCCAAGACCCTGCTTTTGTTTCAATTGCACGCCTGTACAGAACGAGACCCTGCTCGTTTGCGACAAACAGAGTCGACCTTTGGAAGTATGGGATGTTCCCCACAGAAACATGCACACAGAATCATTATCCAACGACTTTCAGCGAAAAATCTAGTACATCATAGCCATGTGTTAGGCCGCCAAAGCTCAGAACATCGACATGCTCGCCTCGGAAGGGGAGACACCTACCGCACCCCGGCAAACCACTTTATGAAAGTGCCGAATACGTGGCCCTGAGTCTTCGGAGTCAAAATATGGCAGACACACCCCAGACGTGCGGCCAGCGACAGAACCATGTTCTACCGACAAGTCGCTGAAGTACTCCGATGCCGTCTCCTCATTCAAGCCTCCACTTATTTCCACCGTGAGGCCATGCGGGAAGTGCTCCTGCAGAGAGCACGAACCATGGCAGTGGCAGAAATTGCCCTCGCTGGGCTGTGCCTTGAGCTTGGCAGCGGCTGCCTTTGCCTCGGGTGCCGGGAAGTTGTCGAGCATGACCTCGGCCAGGGGTGGCTGAGTCACGGGCAACGTCAATCTCACAAGAACCCAGCACAAAGAGAAGAAGAGAGAGAGAGAGAGTGGCAAGAGACCTATTAGTTTTCTGTCTTAGGCACCACCTCAGCTCCTGCACCCGCGGCCTCCAGAGCTTCGGCGAGGGACTGGCATTCCACCTCGCGCACTGGTCGCGTAGATTGCCTAGATTGGGCCCTAAGTATGGCCCCACCCCATGCCCTTTCTGAAAAGTTTAAGTTTAAATGCGATTCGGGTGTACTGCAAGAGAGGGTTGAACATTTTGAAGAGTTGTGACACGATTTCTGCGGGAATCAGCGCTGAAGCGTCACAACATCGGTAGCTGCAGACCACAAGACAAAGAGAGAAACTGAGCTGGAATAATGCTATTGATACGCATAGCCGTGTATCTCGTTCTTGCAGCAGACCGTGTGACACCTCGATCATCTGACACACTGAGCAACATTGAACCCAGAGATGCTACCGCTTCTGTGGGGCGAATGTATTCCCTCTGACGGCTCGTTTAAGCATGCATTCTGGGCGCATCCCACAGCTAATCTGTTGGCCTCAATCTTGTTAGAGAAGCCGCAGGCGCTGCGAGCTTTTCTCACCATAGCCTGCCAGGTTGGACTAAGCAGAACTTTCAGATGCACATGTTGGTCCGTTCGGCCTGAATATCACCACCGCACGCCCAGCAATGGTTATCCTGCCGTGCCCCGCTGACAAGGCCAAATTGGCAAACGAAACATGCAAGAAACTGCTGTCAAAGTCATTGTTCGATACCGGCCTTGAGCATAGTCATATCACTGAGAGTCATCCGATGAGGAACACCTCCCCCAACGATAACTGCCTGAAACGCAGTTTCTCGGACTGTGTACAGTCTACCATAGCACAATTCATGCAGGGAACGTATTTCTCAAAAAGGCGAAAGCCAGGAGTCACCTTGCGTGTAGCCGCTATTTCACCTTCGACCAATCAGCACTCACCAAGTCAAGTCCAGGCAAACCAAGGCAAAGGCATTCACTCGATTTACCCGAAAGTCTTGCGGAGCTCGGGTCTGCACCATGCCAACCATGTTGTTGCTTGATCGCAGCCAAGTGGTTGGTTTGAGTTGCCTGGAAAGCCCACTTCTCGCGTCGATGCGATGCTAAGCTTTGACCCAAAACCACCTCAAACTGAGGTGATTACAATGCCGCTGCATCGGGAAATAATGTTGAGCCTCGAACCGTGACTGCATTGTTTTCCCGAAAGCATCGCGAAGGGTTCTTCCGTGCGGAGCCCCGCAGAGAAAATACATAGAGAATACATGGGGTCAAGTACACTTGACTTTACGAACACTTGACTCTACGACACTTAACTTTAC